CAATTAGAACAGGGATAGAATCACAGAAATAGAGATCTCTTGGAGGATTATCATTGGGGACGGGGGTGGGGGAGAATGGGGGGAAAGGTACAGGGAATAAGAAGCATACGTGGTAGGTAGAAAATAGACAGGGGGAGGTTAAGAATAGTATAGGAAATGGAGAAGCCAAAGAACTTGTATGTACAACCCATGGATGTGAACTAAGAGGGGGAAATGCTGGAGGGAGAGGGGGGTGCAGGGTGGAGGGGAATAAAGGGGGTAAAAAATGGAACAACTGTAATAGCATAATCAATAAAATATACTTTAAAATAAAAAAAGGACAGCAAAAGAAAGAAAAACTCATTTGCAAAAACCCTACTGAGTTGTCATCTTGGTGCCGTTGCCATGAGGTTTAGGACCTTGCTCAAGTCCTCTCCTTTCCCCAGGGGTCTCGTCTTGGCTTTCTTCTTTGTGAAGTGAAGGGGGACTGGGACACTGAAGTAGTGCTGAGGTTCCTTTCAGCTGCGATGTGCCTGCATCTCTGTCATGGTGTCATACAGGTGGGTACCCTTCAGGGGAAAGTGGGAGAAAGAGCCTCCCAATGCTCCAGCCCTTAGAGGGGCTAGGGCTGTAACCTGGGAGAGAAAAACTCCCAGCTGCTGGTCTGAGCTGTGCCCACGGCCACCCCCAGGCCTCAGGCCCTCCTCCTTGGGATCAGTCCCCTTGCTCCCTCTGTAGCTGGCTGACTGCTGGGTGCCTGCTCTGGGATTTGGGATTTAGCATCAGTTCCTGGAGGAAAGTGGAGGCTGCCTCCTCTGGCAGAGGCCACACCTCATAAATCGCCATTTTCTGGGGGATGGTTTGGTGAGGTCCAAGCACCCAGAGGTGGAGGGGCAGTGGGCTTTCAGCTCCAAAGACTCATTGCACATATTTGGGAAGGGGTGTCATGCACAGATGGGGACCCTCCTTGCCCTTCTCTGCTTGGGCACCTGTTTGGAAGGGCAGAGAAGGCCAGAGCAGAGGAGTCTGTCTGCCCCAGCTCACTGCGAGCTGCAGCCTGGGCATTTCCTTCCTAATGTCACCCTCTGCCTTTAAGTTTATGGCCAGCCATGGCTTCAACCCACACCAGGGAGCTCAGGGTCAGGCACCGAGTGACAAGATCTGCTAATTCCAGGTCCTCCCTGAGAGTCCATACCCCCTTTTCCTCCTTCAGAATTCTGGCCCCTGCACCTCCAGGTCACAATTTAAATGATATTAGCTATAGTTGGTCTGCTCTGGTCCTCTTCAAGGGAAGTGGGAGGGGAGTGGAGCCCCAGGTGCTGCCAGGTAGTGCAGTTCACAGTGCCCTGGGTCAGGTGCTCATCTTTTGTCCCAGGAAGACCCTTTGGGAACATCTGGGAAAGGAGAGTGGAGAAGCACCAGACTCAGTGGCTTAGCATGGAGCACCAGGAAATGCCTCCACCAGCAGGTGCTAGTTTCCTTTACATACCCCTCATCTGTGCCTACAGGTGGGCACATAGCCTCTCACCTGCACCTACTTGTGGGCACACACCCGACCTGCACCTACACATAGGTGCATACTTGCACACACACCAGGCTTATGCTAACAAACCCAGCTGTGAACCTGTCTGTATAATTTTTTTCTTGGTTCACCCAATAAAATATATACAGACCATGCTCATGTCTCCACATAAACACATTCTTCTTATTCTGCACACGCGTTTACCATTAGTTTAGGTGCTACTGCAATAACTGCAGTATGAGTTATCTCAAACTCAGGATATACCCTTTCCTAAGTCAGTCTTTTTTTTTAAGTTTTTATTTATTATTTCTTCTTAGAGAGAGGGAAAGGGAGGAGAAAGAGAGGGAGAGAAACATTGATGCATGAGACAAACATCAGTTGGTACCTCTCATGCATGTCCCTATTGGGGACCAAACCTGCAACCCAGGCATGTGCCCTGACCGAGAATCGAACCAGAGACCTTTTGCTTTGTAGGATGATGCCCAACTAAACGAGCTGCACTGATCAGGGCTAAGTCAACCTTTAACACACTATGTGTGCCCATAATGAGACTAGACTGCACAACATGTGTGCACACGCTGTGTACTCCCTGCCTCGTGCTCTGTACTTTATGACTTCCTCAAACAACTCTGCAGTGGGTAGAAACTTCCTCCCCTAGTCCCTCTGAGGATCTCTTCTTTGCAGGTGAATATTCCAAGCAGTGTCATGGAAGGGAAGGACTGTGACCCTAGGAGTCTGGGAGCCCAGGCTGTCAGCTCAGCCAGGTTCATAAGAAGTTATTTTGCTCATAATCTAACATGTCTTGTGAAACCTTCAATAAATACATGCTCAGATGCAGCCTTAGCTCCCTCATCTGTAAAATGGATAGAAATACCACGTGCTTTATCTCCAGCCCCAGCATCACTGTGCAAAGCTGATGTACAAGAAAAGCACCTGAGAAGAGCAAACGCATGATCACATGGGCCGTTAGGGCAACTGGTGTCATGTGTGAGGTCTGGCAACTGGCAAAGAAAGGGGGTCTTAGTGCTGGTCTTGCCAAGTGCCCCTGGCCCAGGGGTCAATGAGTCACAGTAAAAATTTCACACCCAGTCCCTCCTTTCTTCCTGCGAGTCTCACCCTCATCCTCACTTCTGTCTGTCCCAGACAGCATGGCCACAGAGCCATCGGCTTAGTAAGGGCCAAGAGGGCTGTGGCACTGAGCCAAGCACCTGCCCTGGGCATATGGGCATGCGTGGGCCTGGCTTCCAGACGTGCACCTGGAGAGCTCCCCTCTATTCCCTGGCCCCAAGGCTGTGCCAAGCAGCTGAGTCTGGAACAGGAGGCTTTGTGGTTTGGTGAGTTTCACAGAACAGGTCAGGGCTGGTTCTTGCACCTGTGTCTTGGTCCCAGGACCCAGCAATGTATGTGAGTGCCTGTGGTGTCCCCCAACAGCACCTTGATGTCTGAGGTGGGAATGGGAAGGCCAGATTTTTGCCTAGCTCAGGGACCTCAGTACTTGCAGTGGCTAGGCTAGGGTATCCTGGAGGCGGAGAGGCAGAATGCTGGGGCCAATGCCAGCTTTGGAAGGGGGCCAGCAGCTGGCACCAAGCATGGGCATGCAAGAGGTGAAGGGACTGCTCTGTGGGAGGGCTATCTGGCTTTGGGGCTTGGAACAGTCGCAGATTCAACTCACAGCTTTATTTCTTTAGCTCAGCATTAACAAGCCCAGGGTAGTGCCCATCTACCTCAGTTACCCCTGCCTGGAGTAGTATTCAGAGAAGAAAGTTCAGTGGAACCCGTTGCAGTGGAGAAGAGCATTTCTCGATGTGCTGTGGGTTGAGAAGGCTGGAGTACCAGAAAACTGGGGTCCTGCCAGCTGGCTTAGGGGCTTTGGAAGCTCAGGGCTCCACTAAGTGAAATTGGAAAAGAACATGGATGTGGTAGATGAAGGCCCCAGGTAAGCCCAGCCCCTGCCTGGGCCCTGCTTTTGCAGGAGGTGATCCTGCTTGACCTTCCCCCTCCTCTGCTCTGCAGCAGCTCGGGGCTTCCAGCAGGCTGTGCGGGAAGCCTTAGCCAGGAGGGGGATGGGCAGACAGGGCCCAGAAGCCTAGCTGGTCTGGGGGTGGAGCCTTTAAACCCCGCAAATCCTGGGCCTGGCTCCACCCCTTCTCTGCCAGGAGCTCAAAGGAATGACATCACCCAGACTGAGGCTTCAGCCTGGATGGGCTTCAATAGCGGAAAAGCCGGCACCTGCAGCGTTCAAGGACTTCCCGGGTTTGCCCTGAGGCGGTTGTCTGCTCCTCTCCCAAATCCTGTTCAGCTCGGGGGGGGGGGGGGGGGGCTCCCTGCTTTGGGGTCTGGGAGATAGTGGCTGGCTATTTGGACTTCCAGGTCTGGGACTCTGGTTCTTCCACCAGACACCAATCCCTTGGGCAACCCGGCCAAGCCCTGCCTGCCTCCCCGCCCCCGCCCCCCCAGCCCCCAAGTGTCTTTTCCTTCCCCGCACTAGCTGAACTCCACTGTTCTGAGGCTCCCTGGACAAGGACAAGATCCCAGCTCTGATTTAGCAGCAGTCAGCCCGCAGGGAACCCACGGCCCCCTCCCTGTGGGCCCACAGCCCCGCCCCACCCAAAACCCTACTGGGTGCTTGTGTTGCCTGCTTGCGGAGCATATGCTTGGCGGGTTCCTTGGTGTCTGCTGTTTATCCGTCTCTTCCTACTTAACTTCTGTTTCTGCTTTGCCCATCTGGCTCATGGTACCTGCCTTTCTTGCGCTGTGCTTCCTCTCTGCCTCTGGGCTCCCACCCGGCTCCCCTCCCTCTGCCACTTCCTCTTGGGGCAGGGCTCTTGTCCACTCAGCGGCCACTGGCAAGGAGCCCTTGACCTTGGGTGGAGGAGCAGTGGGGGACTCCTCCAGCCTGTGGAACTGCCTAGGTACATCGGGGAGCCTGACATCGGAGTCACTTCCATGCCCTGGGGATGACAGTAGGGGTTGAAGTGCGTGGTGGAGGGCAGCGTGGGTGTGGCCTTTGCATCTGGCAGAGGGCCAGGACCTGCTGAAAAGCACCTTCTGAGCTTTCTTCCAACCAGAGGCCATTCTTGGGGTGAGGGGGGGGGTCCCAGAAACCAGAGTCTTGTAGATGCTTCTCCCTGTCCCCAACAGTGACAGGAAATTTACCTTTGAGTGGCAGCAGGAGCGAATGAGGCCAGGAAGGCCCCAAGGTTCTCCTGCCTCAGAATCCCAGTGTGGCAGGCTGGTGGCTTGAACTCAGAGCTGGTGGCAGCAGCTGCAGGATGTCCGCAGTCACACCGAGGGGAGAAGGAAGGCCCTCCCCTTCCCCAGCAGAGCTCTGCTGAGGCCAGCCCACCTCAGTGCGGCTGGAGGCTGGGCGCTCGGCTCCGGGCCGAGTAAAGGCTCCGCCCCCCTGCCCCTCTCACTGCGCACACGCGCCAAGGCTCACATTCACCCCTCCAAGCAGCACCCTTCCTTCGCAATATGATGTGGCAGCTTAAGGCTGTCTTGGACAAAGGAAGGCCGGAGTTGTTAGGAGGAGGAGGGAGAAGAACTGGAGCCCTGCAAGGCCGACTGCCCTTTACCTGCCTCTCTGGACCGGTTTGCCCCTCCGGGCTCAGGCTAGCTGCCGAGGAAGTTGCGCTGGGCCTGGAGTCAACAAGGCTCCACGTGCTCCCTGTAAGCATCTGCTTCCCACGGAAACCCGCGGGGCTTGGCGGCCAGGCCTCACCGCGTGCCTGCTCCGCCCCGGCTGCGCTCTCTGTCTCTGTTGCTCCATCTGCTGCTCCGCCAGATCCTGGCTCAGCTCTCCCGGCCTCTTTATTTCTCTCACAGATCCTCCTTCCTGCTCTTCGTTGCTCCCTATCCTTTCTCACCTCCCCGCTCCCCCCCATGCAGCCACATTCACACCGCTGTCCCTGAGGTCTTCCTTCCACCTTCTGCCTTTGCCCATCCTTTTGCTTCTCTGTTGTTTTCCTCCATATTCACATTCTCACTTTCTCGCCCATACATATTCTGTGGCTCCTTGAAAGTTACCTAGATCATTCCCTGTGCTAAAAGCCTAGATCTGCTTCAGGAAAACTTATTAGATGCCAGCTCCTGGACTCTGTCTCTGACCTCCATCTGGATTAATTGCCTAGAAAGTGTTGGTGAGCCCACCGATCCTTCCACTTAAACGTGGCTCACTCTCCGCAATGCTCCCTTCTCTGATTTGGAACAGAGCAGCTGGAAGGTGTTTAGGAGCAGCCAGACTGGCTGCAGTGCCTCGATCAGGTGCCCTGTCTGGGGCAAGGGTTGGCCCTCTAAGGATCTGAAGAGTTCAGTGCTGGAAATAACTTAGGATTTGTAATGTCTGATCCTTTAGTGCCTTTACAACTATTTTACATTCGCTCTATTATCCCCTTTCAGTTCTCATGGGAAGTGCATTAATGAGGAAACTGGTGTTCAGACTGGAAGCCACTCCTCCAGCACTGCCGGGTGCTCAAGGACCAGAGCTTGAATCGGAGTCCCAGCTTCGGGCCTCCCAGCCCTGGACCGAGGCAGGTGTCTGAACAGAAAGGACCTGAAAGGTGTGCTATGTGTGGTTAAAGGATAAGGGGTGGGAAACCGGGATGACGGGGAGAACAGGGAAGGAAAGTGTGGCTAGGCCCAGCGTGTTGTCTGTCATCTCCTCCGTGCCTGCTGGTTTTATGACAACCATCGGTGGCAGGTGGTGGGGATGGGACACTGTGTCCTCTTGTCCTCATATGTTAATGAGTTAGTCCCCCACCCCTGTTGTTCCCATCTCCTTTCTCTGTCTATTATTATCTGACCTCAGGATTCCTTCTCTGCTTTCTTCTTTTTCCATCCCTCCTTACGGTCACCTGCCTGTTTTCCCCTGCATCTTTGGGGTCTGGCCCTTCTTCTGCCCAGTTCTCTTCCATCTTTCCCATTCCCTGGCCTCTCTTTGTCCTCTGACCACCTCCTCATAAGCCGTATTCCCGGTGTTTGTCTTTCTCTCATAAAGTGTTGGGGTAGCCTGAAGGTGGCAGGGAAGGCACAGGAGCCGGCCTGTCCCATTCCTCCCCTACAGCCCAACTCTGGTCTAAAGTCACAGGGTTTAGACAGCACGGGGCGGTTAGCTTTGTCCACCCAACATATACCTGCAGCAGATTTACTCCCCAGACATGTAGACTAACCTTGAGGCCGTGGGTCCCTTCAGCAGGTTCTTTCCCCAGGAGATCTGCGACACCCCCTCTCCTGGCCACATGCGCCACCTTCTGTTGGCTGAAGAGAATGACTCAGCCCTGAGCCCCCTGCCTTCTGCTTCCCCCGCTTGGTTTGGTTTTTCTTCTATACCCAGGTATTTCCTTGTTTTCACATGGGACTCGTGGGCCAATGTCTTACCTCAAATGAAGTTTTTCTGTCCAGAAAAAAACAAACTAAACTAAACTAACAAATCTTTCAAAGCCCACTTTATGTTTTAAACACTCCCAGCAGGGAGCTCCTGTGGATCCAGTCCTCAGCTGGGGTGTGCACCAGCGCAGCCCTCAGCTCTCTGTCATCTGTTCTCATCTTCTCTCTCCTTTACTGAACCCTGTCTCTTGTGTCTGGAGCTCTGGGCCCTTGTGCAGAATACAGGGATGGAACCCTCCCTGGCCAGTTGTCCCTGGTCCTGGTACATTAGGAGAGTGGTGATCCCTTCTAAGGACAAAAGGCCACAAGGGTGTATCTAGGGCCAAAGTGCTCAGGAAAGTCCCAGCTCAGTTCAGCCGAGTCTAGCTCTGAGGTCTTGGGCAACTCACTCAGTCTCTCTGAGCCTCAGGCTCTTATCTGTAAAGAAGGAGCAATAATAATCCTATCTCACAGCATTGTTGAGAAGATTAAATGAGAAAATATGAGTGCAAGCTGTTTGTAAATTATAAAGAGCTCTAGAGAAGCTATTATTGATGGAGCAGACGTGGAGTGTTGAGCGTGGGACCAAAGGAAGAGAGGAAGGCAGCAGGCAGCGCTTACCCTGGAAGAGGCTCAGTGAGGGAGTTTGGAGACAGCATGCGGACCTCAGAAGAGAGGCAAGACACTCCCCACAGCCTCTAGCTGCAGCCCCATGTTTGGCTCGGGCAGACACGACCTGTGTGCCACAGCCCACAGACCCTTTCCTTTGGGTTGCAGAGATGTGAGAACACATCCAGGTATAAAGGTGAGGCCCTGGCAGGAGAGGGGATGGATGTCCTAGAGCAGCTTGACTTTCTCCATAGGTAAGAAGACAGAGGCAGAGCAGCTTGGAGATAGAACACCTGTCTTTGATATCATTACAATAGCAGTAGGTGAAGGAGACATTCGAAGGCATTGAGGAATCCTTTGTCCTTGCCCACTGCATGAGGGCAGCAGGCTGCCTCTGATGCCCCCGTCTGTGTTGGATCCTTTAGGAACTGCAAGTTTCTCCTGGACAAGGACATTGTTGTTTTGGATTACATTTCTGCTCTGTGCTTTGCAGACATCCACTTAATAGTACCTGTTACTTGACTGAGTGATTGGAAAAGAGCAAGAACAAAGAGAAGTAAGAGGTGAGCTGTTTTTATAGACTCCATTGTGTGGGAGACCTGAGCATCCTAGTTTTTGTGCTGATCAGGGCACAATTTAAATTCAACTTCCTGCCTGAAAAGAAATCCTAACACCAGCACCACTTGCCTGTGTCTTTATATTTTGGCAGGATCTGGACAGGATAGGAACATCTGACGGCCGGGGGTGGAAGGCATTGCTGGGTCTGGGAGGGAGACATTGAAGGGATTTAAAAACAGCAGAGCTCAGAGAAGCCATGTAGAATGTTAAAATGGACCGATTGGTTGAATGATTATAGAAGAGGAAACTGAGGCCCCCAAACACTGTTACTTGCTCAACATCACCCAGCTGGTTGGCAGAGAAGTAGAAACAGAACAAATGTTTTCTCCCAATCTTGAATTTTCCCAGGACTATAAACTACCTCCTGAGAAATGATTCCAAAAGGAGACACAACACCAAAACCAGGCTGTGCTGGAGGTCTACTGATGTGGATGGGAAGACAGCAGATGCTGTGACCATCCATCCCTGAAAACGGGTGGTCCCCTGAGGGTCTTGCTTCCCCACCTGTAATCCCCACAGGGCCTACAGCTGGGAGGACTTTCCCGGGAAGCAGAGTTGGGGGCAGTATTTGGAGAGGGCACAGCCTGCATCGAGGCCAGCTGAAGCATGGAGACCCCATCACGAGGCTTCCCTGAGGACCCCTCTTTGCACTCAGGCTTGGTGAGGGCTCCAGGTGTTGGAGGAGGAGATGGAATGAGAGTCTCACTCGGGCTTCTGGCTTGTTGACTGTGACTCCTGGTCTCTTGCTTGGACAGAGCCAGGAGGGTAAGAAAAACAGAAAAAAAGAAACAAAAATAGCTGGAGAATGAAAGATGCCCATCTGCTGTGTGGGCGAGGGAGGGCTGAGGAAGGAGGCTGGTTGGCCTGTCAGTTAAGAGGCTGAATTGGGAATTCCTGGCTTCACCAAACCATGAGGAGGTCAGAGAAAAGACTAGAAACCAGACACACTGGAGGACCAGTTGAATTTGGGCTGTAGTCCTGCTTGGCTTGGGCCACACTACCTAACCTCTGTGAGCCTGGTTTCTTACTCTATAGTGTGGAATGGGAACAACATCAACTTTAAGAAGTTACTGTGTGGATTAAACCAATAAATGTAGAAGAATTCCTAGAACATAGCAGGTGCTTCTGAATAGCAGTTCCCTTCTTTTCCATAACTGCAGCCAGACCCGGCCACCTCCTTTTGCTCTCCCAAGCTTCTGAGAGCAGAGAGACCAGGCAAGCTCCTCAAGCTGCAGCCTCTGCTATTTGGGCAGCAGAATATCCGGGGATTCCTGTCCAGGGTCCTGCTCCTGTGGGAGCCTCCTGGGAGTCACTGCCAGGCACCTAGAGCCCTGGGTCACAGTTGGGATCTCCCTGCCTTCATACACATGTTTTAGAAACGATGCAAAGTGATCACCGTTGTAGGTCCTGGGGTTCAAAAGGAACCCAAGTGCTGCTCTAACACCACTTGTCGCAGGATGCAGAGTGGCAGAAGGAACCTTCATCCACGGGGCCCTGAACCCACAGCCCCACATGAAGGAGCTTGCTCTTGTCTTGAGAGGTGTACTTGGCTACCTGATGGCATATCAGGAAGGTGTAGGATTTGTAGCCAGACAGACACAAGTTCAAATCTTGGCCTTACCACTTTCTGGTTGCATGACTTGAGCAAGTGACTTGACCTCTTGAAGCCTCAGTTTTCTTATCTGTGAAATGAGGATGGTACCTCACTCAGAATGTTGCTTCAAAGAATAAATTGCGATAGGTACACTCTTTAATCACCACCCCATTATTGGTAACAAGGATAGCATATTTATTTATTTATTTATTTATTTATTTATTTCCTCACCCAAGGATTTTTTTTCATTGCTGTAGAGAGAGAGAGGAAGGGAGAGAGAAACATCAATGTGAAAGAAGCATTGATTGGGTGCCCCCTCTACACACCCAGACCAGGGGTTGTAGGTACCTAGACTGGGGACGGAACCTGCAACCTAGGTATGTGCCCTGACCAGGAATTGAACCCACAACCTTTTGTTAATGGGGACTCTCCAACCAACTGAGCCACACCGACCAGGGCAAGGACAGTGCTTTTAGATGATGAGAATGTTAAACAGCCCTTAGAATCAGACTAGTGAATTGGTGGTCTTGGCACTGCAGAGGCTTTAACCTGCTTCATTAACCTCTGACCTCATCCGTCCCTTACTGTCACTTAAATTAGACCCAGTGACCATCAATTCCCAATCTCTCAACCCTTCTTACCAACTTGACTCTCCACAGTCACTGCATCATCTGAGTGACTGTGCTGGAAGTGACCACATCCCAGCTGGTTGCTGGCTCACCTGGCACACAGCAGGTCTCCTTCCTGGGATGGCTCCTTGGGCAAGGAGTGAGAACTGCTGAGCAGGAGGAAGGGCAGCCTTCCTTGGAAAACACATCCTTGTGTTTTGGGGCTGCCTCCTCAGCAGTTGGGCCCTCTGCTTGGGGTCTGGCTCAGACCCGCTACTGGCCTCTCAGCCCCCAGGGAGCCTGCTCTGTGCAGCACACACATGTAAGCAGCCCTTTGCCCTTTGTGCCCTTGTCCACTCACAGCAGACCCTTTCACACCTCAATTAGCCACTTAGGGAGAATAAAGAGCAAGTGCAAGCTGGGGAAATCTGTCCAGACCATGATGAATAGTTTTCCAAGCCTGCTGTTGCCATAGCAGCCAGCTGGAAACACCGTTTCCAGGGCCTGAGGCGCTCAGACATGCATGGGTGGGGGGCTGCCCTGCTGGGCTGCTGCCCACTTGCCTTCCCCCACCCTGGCCTCCCGGCTCCCTTAGCAACAGCCATCGCCACTGCCATCGCAACCACCACCGCAGCTTCGACTCCTGCACTGGCCAGGAGCAGTGTCCTAGGAAACTTTGGTGGTGGGGGGCAAGGAGAAGTAGGGAGCACTGGGATGTGTGTGTGTGTGTGTGTGTGTTGTGTGTGTCAGAGTCATGGTATGAAGTTGGAAGGGAGAAAGCTTGGCTGGCTTCACCATGATAATGATAAGGACGCTTCCTGATTATATAGGAAAGAAGCTCATAAGCTTGGGGTCAAAATGAGACCCCCTTAGCGGTCTCACTGTTGCCCCTGAACTTCCAAGAACAAGTTTGCGTATCTGCGCATATGTGAATTTTTCTAGAGAAAGCGTTTATAGTTTTTATCAAATTCTCAAAGATGACTAAGTCCCTACTAGGTAAGAAGCTTAATTACAGAGCCTTTTGCTGTTCAGAATCAGAAGAATGTTAGGGACCAGCTGATCAGGCAGGTGCAGAGATATACTTAGAAGAAGGAATGAGTGTTGTGCAGGGTGGAAGCACTTGGCATGCCACCCCGGCCCTATCCACAGAGTCCCCCAGATCTGCCATTGGCCCTCTGTGCACCTCTGGAAGTAGTAACTGGGAGTATTTCTGCTAATGCACCCTAAATATTCCCCTTCCTGCCCTCCTCTGTCATACAGCTTTGCCCTGGGTGAGCTGTGCGAGTCACTAGTGGGTACTGTGTGCCAGGCCCTGCGCTTAGTGTTTTACAGACACTCTGCCCATCCTCTCATTTAACCCTCACACAATACTAGAAGGAAGAGTCTCTTACCATTGCCATTTCAAAGGTGAGAATATTGAAACCCCCAAAGAATGTAAGTGATTATTAGCTCAGGTTTATAGAGTGAGAAGCTGGAGAAGCGAGGGCAGCTTGGCAGAGGGGCGTGGGGTCTCAGAGCACAGCCCTGGACCAGAGCTCCTGAGTCTGACCTCACCATGCCCCATGTTACCTACGTGGCCCCAGCCTCTGTTCTCATAGCTGTGCATTGAGGACACTGATCATTCCTACTCTGAAGGACTGTTGTGGAAGTTAAAGAGTTGACATCAGATTTGAAAGTGCTTAGAACAGTACCTATCACCAGATCAATTGGTGTTAAATAGAGAGTAGGATTTGGTCACAGGTCTGTCTCATTCCCAAGTTCATGTGCCATACAGAGAAGGTTTTCAGGGGGTGTTCTGTTGTCCTGATGCTAGGGCTGGGTCATGACGCAGGGGAGAAACACAAGCTCTAGACTTGGTGCCACCGCTTGTTGAGTGAGTGGAGGTAAGCTGGTTGGCTCTCAGAGCCTCAGCGTCCCCTCCTCTAAAGAGAAGGAGTCAGAATACATCACATTTTTTCAGGGTCAAGTGTGTGTCCTAGTCACTACTGATTACACGCAGATCAAATGAAACAAGATCTGGGAAAGTTTGTGCAAACTGAGTGATGCTGCAGCAATGTCCTCAGTGCCTAAGCTGAGTCCTGCTTCATGTCCGCTCAGCTGGCACTCAGGGCAGGGTGCCCAGTGTGACACCCCTGGAGGCGGGTGACTGGCACAGTGCCTTCGGGTACCCATGTGTGTGCCTGGGTCAGCAGCCAACTCGAGGATGCTTAGGAATTCCACAGAGGGAGCAGAAGGGACTGGGGCCAGCTGCCCTGGGCTTGGTTGGCAAGGTGGCAGGGAGGCAGGTGCTCGGCTGAGGCCATTGATGGGAATGAGGGGCGGAGCGTGGAACATCCTCCAGGCCACACCAGGCCTGGTGACATCCTTCTCTGTGAACGGGGGTAATTAGTGGGAACAAGTAAAAGCTTTCTGAGTCGCTGCTGAGGAGAAACACAGCAAGTATTATTCAATCAGCTAATGTAGGGTTCACAGTTGTCTCTGGGCTGCTGGGGCGGGCAGCAATTTCATGTCCCCTTTTGTTTTTGCCCCCAGAAGTCTCAAAGTGCTGAGAGCAGATGGTGAGGGGGAAGAGGGTGGGTCCTTACTCCTGAGTCAGTGGCTGCTGGGGTACCTTTCTGGGGCACCAGGAAGTGGGGCACGCAACCAGCATATTGGACAAATAAGTGCCTGATGGCAGGGAGGCGCGGGTCAGACAGAGGAGGGGGCGGCGTGAATGACTGGCGGTCCAGTCAGAAGCCATAACTGGAGGTGATTAATGTGTGGAGGAGAAAGCCCTGGGCGTCATCCCTGAGTCAGGGCTGGGGCTGGCTCACACGGCGGCTGCTGTTGTGGCGCCCCCCTCTTGGCCCCACTCGCAGCCTGAGGGGGCGCTGGTTGAAAAGGGAGTGATTCAGAGGCTGTTTAAAAAGCAGCACTTCTTAAACTGAGGAGCTTCTGAGACTCTGACTCAAACCTTTATTCTTTAACCTTTCAATTTTCTGATGGTACATGAGGAGGTGGGGGGTTGATCTTCTCTGAGAACTAGGGGCAGGAGCTAGTGCCCAGGAGGGACACTGCCAGTGCCCATGTCATAAATGGGGGAAACTTCCTACTGGGAGAGCTAAGCTGAGGCTATAGCACAGTGAGAGACCTGGGTTTGAATGTATTCACTATCTCTGGGCAAGTAACCCAGGCTTTCTCATCTCAGTTTCCTCAAGTATAGAAAGAGAATGAAAGTTGTGTTCGGGGGTGCTGTGAGGCCCCAAAGAGAGGGTATCTGTGAAGGGGTCGGTAGAGCTGGGATGAGACCTGGAATAGGAGCAGCGACTTCTCTATCCCAGGCAGAGGCAACACCAATCATGTGCTTTGGAGAAGAAAGGTTAACTGTTCTTGTCTTTTGAAAAGATTTTATTTTTAGAGAGAGGGACAGGGAAGGAGAAAGAGAGGAAGAGAAACATCATCATGAGAGAGAAACATTGATTGGTTGCCGCTTTCACTCCCCTAACCAGGAACTGAACCCAAAACCCATGCACGTGCCCTGGCCGGAAATCGAACCAGTGACCTTTCCTTTGTGGGATGATGCCCAACCCACTGAACCACACCGGTCAGGGCAGTGTTAACTTTTCGTCAGTTTCTCTCTTCTCTAATTCCTAAGAGAAGCAAGAAACACTGACTGGCAGAACAAGGTTTAGATTATGTATTGTCACAGTGAACAGTAAGACAGTGACACAAAGATGCAAATTGCTAGAAAAATACAGTAGATATTTAATAGAAGAGGCTGTTTTATTATTGGCAACCACCTTTGGAAATGGGACCAAAAGTACACAGGTCTTGAAAATGCCCAGTTGGCTTTTGAGGAGACCTAGGCGGTGGTGCTCTCTGTCTTGGGTTCAGAGTTTTATTCATTCCTCAGCCAGAGAAC